TGGAAGAAGGAGAGGGAGGTTTCTGTGGCTTGTTTGTGTAATAGGGATGAAAATATAGTCTTTCCCCTGGATCCACAAGATTATTCTCGAGGTAGAACTATTTGCATTACATAAACGAAGAGTTAAAGAATGCAGGCAAGCCACAAGGTGGGAAGGAGAAGTAGATCAGGCAGACCTTCCTTATTGTGTCTGTGCCAGGCAGTGCTGCTATGGCTGTGGCAGCTGCTGTAGCTCTAGGCCTAAAACAGCAGCTGCCAAGTACTGCCTTGAGGTGCTGGATTTTTTTTTTCTCTAATCCCTCCATCCTGGGCTTGTGCTCAGCCATAGTGCACTCTGTTCCTGTACAGGATTTAGGAAGTGGGTAGTAAGCATTAAAACAGCTCCAGGTGGAGGGATTTTCATCCATCTTGTCTAAAATCAGTGCAAGGAAGGAAGGAAGGCAGTGAATATACTAAGATCAAAGATCATTGGTACACAGCAAGACAAAAGGAATGCCCTTATCCCTTAAGTGTATCCTGAGTCAAATATTTTATACTAGTATATACTTTGAGATTGTGGGGTAGAAGGATTTAATAATAAGAATGGAGCTGTAAAAATTTAGACATCTTCCTAATTCTTGAAAATTGTTTAAAAAAGAAGTCTGAGTGATGGATTATTCCTTGGTTTTACAGAAAAGTGTCTTTGTACTTTGGATAAATTATTTGAGCTCCACACACTTGTCCTCCACTGTTTCCAAAAATCAAACTCCTAGGGAAGGTACGTGAATTCCCATGGTCTGGGCAGACCATAAGAGAGAAACTGAATTAAGACACAGAGGTGATTCTTACCTTTTGCCAGCAGCTTGCATGTCTACAAAGCTCACCTGCAGCAATTACATATTGTCGGTACATTTCAGTTAGATGTGTACTTAAGTAGAGAACTAGCTAAGAATCGTCTTCAGCATTATTGCCCCTGCAGACTCCTGCAAGTTGTAAAAAACAAGTGAACTGCAAATTACCTTTGTATTGAAAAGAGAAATGAAACCTAAGTTCATCTGGAAGCTGGGGAGGTGACACCATGTGTTTATAGTGGCCTGTGTAATCTTTTTCTGGGTACTCATTTTGAGAGGTGTCAGAGACAGGATATGGAGTCAGACCTTTGGTCTGACCCAAACCATACACTGGTGCAGGTGTAGCTCATTTGCAATGTCATTTTGGTAAATGGTAAATATAATTAAATAACTTAGTTGCAGTGGGTGTTGATCATTTTAAAAACCTAACAGGGCAAGCAAACTGGAATCTAGGTTAGGGGTGTAGTGCTTTGACTGAAAACAACGTGTAGGAATGCTACTCAATACACACTTTAGGAACATTTTCCTAATGGGAAAACCTACGGAATAAATCTTAAGGGCTTGTTCTACCTGAAAAGTGAGTGGTAAGTAGTGTATTTTTATCACATTAGTCCACTTCCTTCACCTGCTAGTAATTTCTTCTCGTGCTTGAAAACAAACAAACAAAAAAAAGCCAAAAAAAAAAAGAAATGTTCTTGCTTTCTTGTACTGCTTGTGCTTCACAAGCCATATATATAAGAAATAGTGTTTTCCTAACACACCTGTTATTAAGTTTCAATCATTGCCTCCACTAGAAACCTACTGAAGGCAAATGGACTATCCAGTTGTCACTGAAGGCATGATTTAATGATGTAGTATCTCTACACTGATGAATTCACCCTTTTTAATGTGCTTAATCTATGATGCGTGAAGCAGGTGGTACCTCTGCTTTGCAGACCTGTCTGTGGAAAGCCCATTTCTTCTCCTTTTCTCTTCTGCACGTGATAAACAGAGCTTATTTATTAAAGAAGCCATCAATGTACAAAGTTGAAGCCTCAGGAGCCACTTTCACAGTGCCTTTTCAGAAGGTACCTCCTCCTTCAAGCAGTTGTTTTCCAAGTGGCCTCCAGCACCCCCTACGTAATTGCCTTGTTTCACATTTGGAAAAAAATAATATTGCTGGCCCGCTGTGTGAACAGTGACGGTAAATAGTGAAGGATAGATAGAAGCAGTTGGGTGAGAAATCTGTGACAGGCTTTTGTGTGAAAACATTTAGTATCTGCTCTCACTTTAATCATTTATTATTTTTAAGTCAGTGACAAAAACATCCTGCTGAAATAGGAACACTGGGATCCCATCTGTGGGGAGAATGGGTGGTGTTAGACAGATCTTACTATCGTGTCGACGCGACAGTATATCAGGCAAAGATATTAGTTGCTAGTTTTACTGTTGTTTTTTAAGACTGCTCATGAAAAGTTCCTTTAGCCAGGCTTATGAACTTTCGAGTGGCTGCATAAAATTATATCTTGTCTTTGTTTATCCATATCATAAAGTTATTCCAGAAAAAATAAAATAGAGACTTCAACTTTTAGAAGTTTACTATACCTTTATGTTGCCCTCAGGCCACTTCTATTTTTCTTCGGAGAAAGTGGATTCAGATTTCTTCCAGAATAGGACTGCTTAGTAAAGGCTGGAGCTGTTTGTGATAAATCTTCAGTCCTTTCAGTCACATGTATATTTGAATGAAACGTAATAATTATTTTTCTTTTGTCTTTTAAACATCCACATTTTGTAGCTGTGGATTAAGTGTATTGAAACATATCATTGCTGTGGCAAAATTGTCCTAAAAGCACAGGACTCGCCTTTTTTCCTGTTACAGAACTTAGAAATAAGTATCAAAACAAGGTATGACATATGAATAGCAACAGGCTGTGTAAGAGTGATGAATATGTTCCAGGTTTAATGTAGATGGAAATGGAAGCACTTTTATACTTGCCAAAACCTTTTAACAACATTTTGAAAACTAGTGTTTACATTCTTTGAAATGTTTATATCTAGAAGCAACCTCCTACTTTGGCAAACTTGTTTTAAATCCTCTTGGACCTCTGACAACCAAACTGACAAATATACTGATATCCCCCGATGTTGTCTAAAAGCTTGTTTTCACAGAATCACAGAACCACAGAAGGGGTATGGTTGGAAGGGACCGCAGTGGGGCATCTAGTCCAACTTCCCTTCTCAAGCAGGGTCATCCTAGAGCAAGTCGCACAGGTTTGCATCCAAACGGTTCTCGAGTATCTCCAGTGGGGGAGACACCACAACCTCTCTGGGCCACCTGTTCAATAGGAGAGTTAGCAAAACTAAACATTTAAGGACTGTAATTTGAGAAACTATCCCCCAATGAGGAATTAACATTGTTATCCTCTGGTGGTTTCTTCCAGTAGGCCCAATAGAAAAAGTATAGTATCAGTCAAGATGAATTTTAGGAATATTGAAAAAAAAATTTCAAGGGTCACCACCAGCATACTCTTTTACCAAATGCTTTGCTTAATGATTCACAGTCTCCTGCAACTCCTGACCATTCTGTGGTACAATATTACAGCATAGATGTCAGTAGCATCATGTGGCTGCTATTCAGCTTGCACCTGGTGCCAAATGATTTAACAGCTATTAGGCTGTCAAACCAACATGATGTCTTTAGGACTAGACTTACCCAGTCCAGTTTTGCCAGTCTAGTCTCACTGGCTTTGTGTCCTTAATTTTCTCCTCAGACACAGGATAGCATCCTAGTTCTGGTCCAATACAGGAGAAGAAGTGGTGTGGAGACCTGTTCTCCCTCTAGTCCTTTCCAGCAAAGGAGCAAAGCAGACAAGGGCTGAGTACTTATGGGCTCGGGGAACATTCATGGGAAGTGAAAGTGCCTTGCTCTCCTCACCCTGGGAGATGAGGTGGTGTCCTTACCCTCCCTCTGGGTATCAGCACAGATCCCAGCTGTCCCCTTCTCCTACCCTTACAGGTCAGGTGAGATCAGATCAGCTGGGACGTGAGATTGGGTTCATGAAAGACAGACACGTTCTTGTGGTGCTCTCTCTTTTTACCATTTGCCCCAAAGGGTGTTTTTGTTATTATCAAGAAAAAAGTCTACTCAGTGCAGCCACAGTTCTCTTGGAGCAAATCAATTATTTGCGTGAGGAATACAGAGATTACCTGCTTCTGTTGTTTGATTTTGAGCAAAGGAGCTTTTCCCATCTTTATTCACTGCATGTCATGGGAACAAATGGAGGACATAAAGCACTTCATTCTTGCCCAGGCTCAAGGGGAAAGAAAAAAAAAAAAGGAGGTTGCATTTAATAGACAGAAGTCTGAGACCCTGGAGTAGAAGCTGTGTATGACTGCCTCTCAGATGACGCTCCAGTTCAGGAAAATTGGTGAAAGGACATCTGTTGGCAAATTGCTTTTTTGGGTTATTTAGAGCAGCAAGTTGAAAGACACAGGAGATGAGGATATGTGGGATCCCAACTGACCATAAGAAATCAAATTGCACTCTTTAAAAGAAAACTGATTACCAGACATATTAAGCTTTAATCTTATTTGCAGTTAGTAGCCCCAAAGAGAATGCTTTGTTGGAGACCTTCCAAGAACAGCTATTGCAGACAGCTTGTAAAGCAACAACGATGCGATGGAAATAATGCAAATACAGTTCAACATTTGCTATAATAAAGTTAGTTTATGACACCCTTTGTAACAACCTCAACAATAAATGCCAATTTCCTCATTGGCAATTACCTCTGGTGAGACAAACACTTCCCCAAAGTTGACATGAAGACAGTATTTACATATTTCTTTCTTTTTACAAAACGGACTGTATCTGGCACATAAGTGTACTTTTTATTTCTAAGATTTCTAAGCATCATTTAAATACTGAATGAGTGCAAATGACCTCCACTAATGTACTGCTTCTGTGCATTCAGTTCAAATGGGATGCTGCTTCTGATGCAGCAGGCTGCCAAACCCTGACACAGTGACCTGCTTCAGCTGGGGAACACTTTAATTCCGGTTCTGTGAGGATTCCTTGGCAAGGCTGCTCCTGGCTGTTGTCCTCATGACACTAAGCCATGCTGCTGACGTGAATTATGGTTAAACATATCTTACCTGTGGGATCTGGTCACTGATGCTTCTGTTTACCTTGCAGGTAGCCTGAACTTCAGTTCCTCACCTGCCCAGAGCCTGGTAGCTGTGGCGTTTGTGTTGGTCAACCTCAGCTCAGCTCTCTGCAGCTGTAGGTGGGCTGCAGATGTAAGATGGAGACTTATGCAGGTAACTGTGCCCATTAATGTCTGGTACAGTACAAATTACACAGGGGGTTCTCCTCTACATTTTCCTTAAACCTGGTATTTTTGGGGGTTCTGGGCACATCAGAGGAGTGGCACAGCTTGGGCAACATGTAACGAAAGAAAGAAAAATACTTTTTTTTTTTTTCTTTCTCCCCTCCAGGCAACTCTGCAGTATGTATGTTAGAGGAATTTGAGAGTCTTGTGAAATCAGAAGGCTACCATGGACTATAATTACAAACTATCACAAGGATTTTTAAAATGTATTTATTTGTTCTCATGACTTGGAGATGTATATATTTTAAAAGATCCCTCCAATAGTAGTTTTACAAAGCTGACTTAGTAGTGTTGCACAATCCATAAACCAGAATCCCAGTACACTTCTCTTAATACAAATACCACAAACTTAGTCCTTATAGACTACATTTTTGAAAGTTGACTTACTCCAAAATTACGTCTTTTTATTTACACGGTTTAGTAAATTCATACCACTTCTTAAAGTGTCTTTGGCTGTATCTAGACATCTCGCATCGACTTTTTCTTTTCATGAAATTGATAATGTTTTTGCTAAGTGAATTTCCTGGACTTGGTTGCAGTGTAATAAAATAGATAATCAAGGTGTTATAAAGGCATGCCACCAGAGGGATTTGGGATATATCCTACAGCATCATCGGTCATAACAGAACAAGTGTTAAGCTGCTTGTATACAACAAATCTCAAACTTTTTAGTGTAAATTGGAAATACACATTTTTTTTCCACAGGAAAGCCTGATACTTCTTGTATTATCTACCTGTGTATAAGCATACACATATTCAGCCCCCAGCCTATAAATGCTACATGAAGGCAGCTCTATAGCTTTTGTGTGCATTATGTCTCACAGGGAAGTTACCTGTCATAGTACACGCTCCCTGATGAATGTATCAGCTGAGCAATACAGCAAAGCTCAAACATTTAAGTTGTTTAAGCACACAAGGTATCTCATTCAGCTCACTGAAGGTGAACATATGTAGGAGCCATGTGCTGGGCTAAGAATGCCTCCTTGTGCTACTGTTTATGCATTGGCTACCTTGGTATTTTCACAGGAATGTTTACTCTGTCACCTGACTACAACTTTAAGCATTTTTCAAAATGTTTTTTATTCAAACTATTTCTGTCAATATTAGTAAAATCCTCTTTTAGTCTAATCCTCAGGTCACCCTGGCTGGATGTCTCCTCAGGAATCCATCCTGCACTTTTGACTCTTCCTCAGTGAGGGGAGAGCAGGCAGATGGAGTTCAAGTGCAACCACTGTGCTGCTGCCTAGCACTCTCCTGCTTAAAGAGGCTGGGCCTGAAACAGCTTCAAAATATAAATCAAAATATATGAAGAAATAGGGTCCTGTATGCTACCTATCAAACTAAGTACTCATCCTCAACAGATCTGAATATGAGGATTCTGGTTTTGTCTGAAGAAAAAGTATCGCAAGTGAATGGTTCGAAAACCTAAGAGCCTTTAAAAAGTCCTAAGTTACTTTAGAAGGAGGCAAGAGCAAATAGCACCTGCATATGTGGCAAACAGAATAAAAAACTCAGTCTCAGAGTTAGAAAAAATAAAAATACCATAGAACTAGTGGCGCTGTGTGGTGGGTAAAGGGCTATTACTAGTTAGCATCTGAACAAAAAGATCTTTAAAGAGAGAAATAAATGGAAGCAGCAGCAAAATTCCACACAAAATTATGAGGCATCAGTCTGACACGTGTTTGGCACTCACCTAACTTTGTCTGCACATTTTTTTCCTTTCCCTGTTTAAATTCTATTTTGAATATAGGGTTCCTGCCAAGGAACTTGTTAAAAATGTTTATAATGAGCACAGCGTGGTTTTTGGGTTCTGTAAACAAATACCTCTTTAAAGTTGTACATCACTTCAGAGACTTAAGATTCACTCGTCAAGGAAACCCAGTGTTTTCTTCACTGAAACTTTGCTAGTTAGACTTTTCTAAAGAGGGCATACCAACTTTGATCTATAAGCTGTAAAAAGCTGAATTTAAGAGTAGGAAGATGATAAAACACTTTCCAGAATTTGAGTGTCAAAAATATTCTTGAGGGGGATGTATGTGTTTTTGTGCGTTTTTGTGCGTGATAAGTAATTTTCTAGTTATATTGAATAATCTTAGTCCACAAACATGGTTCTAGGGCAGATGTCTTAACATTTTGATGCTGCCTTGCCCAGGGGCCACTGCTAAGAGGCTTGTTGCAGCCTAACGAGGTGCTGCAACATTCTTTCAGCCATGGGTCCCAACATCGCTGCAACATATTGTCAAATAGGGAGATTGTGGCGCACCACGTTGACGGTACCCAAGCTACGCCAAAGCTACCCGTGGCCCAGCAAGGAGCTGGGTGCTGCCGCTGACCCCCATCTCAAGGCGTAGGAAGGACAACTCAGTACCACGCGGTTCTTGCAAGTCTTCACAGCCCAGACCTACTTTCAAGGCGCACGTAGCCGCGGGTGCAGCAGGTGCCAGCACAGCAGGAATGACACAGGAAAACACCACACCTGCTCACCAGCTACACACCCGAGACACCACGGGGAGCCGCAACCCCGGGCGGCGGCCACGCACCCACAGCCCACAGGGCCGTGCACGAAGCACCGCACACCCTGCTCAGTCAGGGGCCCCCGGGGCGACACGTGTTGGACCAGAACCGGCCCAAGGGAGCAGCACTCCCCGCACGGCGACAGGCGGGACCGAGGGTACTGCCGCCCACCACCCTGGTGTAGCAAAGCCGGCGGGCGGCAGTCCCCGACCTCGCCAGGTACCGGCACCCCCGCGACAGCGACCCCCACCACGGCGACCCCCGCACATCCGGGGCAGCGGCGGGGCGGAGCGGGGCCGAGCGGGGCGGTCACCGCCCCTTCCCTGGTCCCGCCTCCCCGCGCCGCCGCCGCCGCTGCCGCCGGTGATGGAGACGCGGCGCTGAGCGGGTCGGGCGGCAGCGGTGGTGCGCGGGAGAGCGGGCGGGGGCGCCGCCGTCGGCGGCAGCAGCGGGAGCGGCGGAGCGCGGGGCATGCGGGGCGGGCGCCGCCGGGGGGCTGCAGCTGCGGGCTCCGAGGCGCCGAGGGAGGCGGCGGCAGCGGCTCCTCCGCGGGGCTCCGTGTGACCGCGCCGCTGCGCCCGGAGCGCGGCTCCCGGCAGCCGCAGGAAGAGGGGGGCCGAGGCGGCGGCGGTGCGGCGCTGCTTCCCCGGCCGAGGGGCGAGGCGGCGAGCGGAGGCGCCGGCTCCCCGTGGCCGTAGCGGCCGCCGCCGGCAGCGCAGCGGCAGCGGCGGCCGCGCCTCAACTTGGTGCGAGGCAGCGGCCGCCGCGACGAGCGGGCGGAGCGCGGCTGGTCCCCGTCCCCGCCGCCGCCCGAAGGATTTACCCCGCTGGACTCTGTTCCTCGGGCGCCCGGTGACAGGCGGGGTCGGCGGAGCCCTTCGCCTCTCCCCGACGCCCGCCCTGCAGCGACGGAGAGGAGGGCCGAGGTGAGTGTGGGCTCCGGGCGCCTCGGGTTCCGCTTCCCCCCGCGCTGGGGCTCGGGGGAAGGGAAGCGCCAAGTTTAGGCAGCGCCGGGCTTCTTCCCTCTCGGTGAGTCCGCGGGGGAGCCGCCGCCTGGGCCGATCGCGGTTCCTCCGAGCGGAGTGGCCCCGCCGGTGCTGCCCCGGGGGCAGCCGCCGGGGAGGACGGGCACACACAGCCCGCGGCTGCCTTCCGGCGGCTCCCCGAGGTGCTCCATGGTCGGGGGAGCTGGGGACGTCCTGTTGCTGCGTCCAGGGGTCGGGAGCTGCTGTGTGTCAGCAGCCTCCGGCAGCGTGCCTCTGTGTGTGTGTGTGTGTGTGTGTGTACGTGTGTTTGTGCAGGGGGGGACTACCAGGGCAGCATCCCCGACTCTACCTCTGCACCGCTGTCATATCAAGTTCGTTCAGTTAATGTTTATTATGTAACATGTGACTAATATTTTAGACTTTCTCTTATCTGCTGGAATCCGGATCAGCCTTATTTTATTTCCTTTTAATTCATAAAGCTGAAGAAGGTCGGGGAAGCTAAGACTCTAATTCCGAGTGGTTGCCTACAGGAACTTAGTTTTCATGTGACTTTCCCCGTGTTAACAGAGGGTTACTACCTCCTTCCACTTCAAGAAAGCAGAAGTGTGTGTCATCTGCCTTCTCCACCTCCACTCCCCTTTTATTATTAAGTCCGGGCAAGTTTCTTTAGGTCCTACTTGGTTTCAGCAAACTCTAGGACCTGCTACTTTGTAAACTTACTGGGTGAGATACTGAAATAGAAACTGATTTTTGTGCAGCAGCTGCTCAGAGAAATAACTTTTACAGCTATGAACAGGAGTGAAACAGTCTCTTCTGTTTATATAAATGATGTTGGCACTACATGAACTGTAAATGAACATAGCCAACAGCTGTGCAAACCAAAACTATGTAGCTAACCATGTATTATTATACACTGCTGATCTCAACTTCGCTTCTTTGCAAAGGCATTCAAGATCATGCTACTCTGAACACTTGGAACACCACAGAAGTTGTTTTTCTTGTAAATACAAAGGATTGCTTATATTGGGAGAGCACTTTACTTTCTAGTGCCAGCTTCATCATTTTCTGTGACTTGGAATTTTGTCTCTGTCCTCCTGTGATACTAGCCTGTTTTTTGAGTGGTATTACTAGCACTCTGAGTTTGATTTTGTTGCATTTTATTAGCCTTACCTGTGAAACATGAATGCACATCAGAGGCAAATATTGTCAAATAGGGAGATTGTGGCAGCATGGTCATCTTAAGAAAAATGATACAAATGGTACCTGGCAAGGACACCACTCACAAGCCACCCTTGAGATCAAGGTGATAATGACAACACATGGACTATTACTGGATGCTGTCTGTCTGTTCAGAACTGTAAGCTGCATGAATGAGTATACCTTATTCCTCATATACCTTGTTCCTTTAGGAATAGGGCTATTCAAAGACACTAATTAAAGTCATGGAAATGCTTTAAAAATACCATGTGACAGTCATTGCATAGCCTAGTGGTGAGGTGGTACTGTTACACTTTTATACAAAGATTTATTCCTCCCCCCTCATCATCTCATATTGGATTTTTTCAAATAAGTTCAGGAATAAGCTATACAGAAAAAGAATGGAGGTAGTTTAGAATAAATTTCATTGCCAAAATGCTGCTTTAGTGAATAGTACCCTGCTGTCTTTGTTGCACGTGTCGATAACCTATATGTTAGCTATAAACTTGTTAAATATTTTTCTTTTTTTCTCTCACAGAAAGAGCATAATATTTGGGCTGAGAAGAAAATGTAGCTCAAGGGACACTCATCCCAATATAGGGTACTTCCAAATACTTAAATTCTTTGAATGCAATTGACATTATGTTTAGTTCAAGAGGCAAGAGATTATTGACAGATTTTGCCTTTTATATTTGTACTGATTTTTTTAATTTTTATTTTAGGGCACATAAGTGTCAGATTATCCACCTAGCAGAGAAGTTTGATTCACAGGACCAAAATGGTATGGTCTTTGGCTCTGCAGTCTTACCCAGCCTGTGTCTTTAAGTGGCTTCTATGTGGAAGTGCAGGAAACACCTCTAGATGCAAGTTGACCTGTATTGGGAACTGTCAATACTTGTAAGGAAAAGGAATAGCCTACAAATTTAAATAGAAATATTTGTTTTGTGTGTGTGTGTGTAAGATGCATTAAAATACCTTTTAGCAGTTATTGTGGTGCTGTTTCATACCTAATCAATCACTTTATCAAGAATTTTGGAGTTCTTTTATCCATCTTAAATTATAATCAAAATCTGGAAGTATGTAGTGCTGTCCTTCGGGCCATGTTATAGTGCATGTTTTTTCAT